AATGTCTGGTGAATGCTGTTCATCACAACAAACCGAGACTAAACAGGTTTGGAAAGAATACTATTCTTAAATAAATTATCTTTTTAGCTTTATCTTCCTGAAAACAGATCACTTGCCTTTTCCTTCCATCCATTAAAACAAAAGAAAACCAAACCACACATAAATTACTTAAGATCCTAGTTTTAAGTATTACAAGAGGAAAAAATTTTTTAGATTAACGAAATATAATATTTAATTCATCTTTCAGGTAGACCCTCAATTATTTTAAGACTATGGAAACCAGTGTGAAAAAAGATGGTTGTGATATAAAGCAATGTAGTATTCAATTAGAATCTAACAGTTTATGACAATTTGGCAAGAATTCTATCTCGAGCCAGGGTTTTTCCATATACAACACAGAACTTTTCCTGGAAATGTCCCCTTTACAGGGCCTCTGGCCTCTGCATACTTTCAGACCAGGCCTACAGAATCAAACAAATTCAATGTTCCCACTGGAGAATATAAATTAATTCTAAATTATCAACCTATTACATAAAATTCTCTGAAAGAGCAAATGTAGCACTTAGAAACTGTTTCATTCATTTTAACCACTTTCCTAAATTACTTCATTAAAAAAATTTTTTTAATTAATACATTTATTAGCTTGGAAACTGGTTTAAAACTTTAAAGAGTGGTTATATCAGGGTGCTGAAATCAAGGATAATTTTTTAAAGTCTTCATCATGTTAATCGAATTATGTTTAAGGGTTTCATAGATGTTCTTTTTCCCGCTTTACTTTCAAGTCTTTGTTTAGAAGAAAAACGTTGTTTCTTGCCTCCTTTACAGTTTTCCCTCAGGGCTTTCCATCACTGTCAGAGAAATTAAATTCTAAAACAAAAATCAAAATAATCTTGCACATTTTTATAAGTCCCAATGCCAGTCAAGAGCAATAAATACTAGAAAAAAAGTTATAATGGCCACTCCAGAGCAGCACTAGCTAAAAGTTAAGTGACAACAAAGTAGAAAAACCTTTTCCATGTTTACAATTCATGCCCTCTAGACAGAACAGCTTTTTATCTTCTTCAAGACAAAAATCTACAAGTGAGAAAATCTATATAACAATAAAAACATTTCCCAAGGGATTAAAGAAATACTAAACTGAAAACCTAATGGCATTACATATTTTAGTACTTTGAATCCACAACTTTTATCCACCTCATTCAAATTTAGCTTCCACACATCCTTTGGAACTTGTTCTCAAATAACTTTTCTTGATTTTTATTATTAAAGAAACACAGAGTCCTAAAACAACTACATTCAAACAGGAATTCAAGAATATAACTAAGAAACATAGTCTATTCACTTTTGCAAGACTGTATAAGACATCTACCAGACATGTCAAATCACTTTGCATTATTATTAATTTAAGGTAATAGAAAATGTTTTTCTTCCATTGGTAGGTAAGTACAATTCCTTATGCCCTTAACAGTAGTCTGACTTTACCTAAAAATACAGACTAGAATAGTACAGTCCTAAAAAATAGCTACTCAGGAGAACTGATACCTTAATGAACATTTCTGCTTCTTTTATTCCCACTTTATTTGGAATGAAAATATATATACTCTTAGTCCAGCTGTAATTAAAGCATAAAAAAATAGGGTTTCATCAGAAGTTCCCCTAACTAAGGAGTCATAGGCACAGATGCTAAACTATTGATTATTATTATTTAAAAACCAATTGTGCCTGCCAGCTTTTTGGTTAAATCAGAGTTAACACAGTACTAAATCACGACATTGTACAGGACATCCTTAAAAAATCACTTAAAATATTACATGCAAAAGGGAAGAATAGACAAATATTAACTTTTAGTGAGGAACGATTTGCCGAGAAACAATTATATAGAATTTGTATCTCTAGTCCTCTAATGTAAATAAATTTAAGTTTTCTATGTATCCACCTAACAATTAGAATTTAAAATATTTTGCCATAAGATGATTCCTGAGAATCTCCACACAAAAGAAAAACTTAGAACAAATTTGGAGAGCCAAGATCCAACACTGACTCAACAGACTATCAGAGAAAATATGCATCTAAAATTTTTTAAACCAAAATATGTATCTGTCAAATTCTTGATTTTAGACTTAGTTGCACATTTTTCCCAACTATGCTTTCGGTTTCACTTGCAGCATAACAATTACACATCTCAGGAAGAACGAAAATTTTGGTTTTGATGATGACAATCTTAAGCCAAATTATACTTTATCTTCATCATTAAATTACAGTCAATCATGTATAAACTGCACTGAAGAATAAACTTTGTGTTTCACAATGTCCAAGCATATGGCTGACAAATCTAACTATACCTCCGCAGATGTGAGGACAGTTAAATAGGTATATATTTCAGCAACGGCCCATGCAAAAAGAAGTAAAACTTATCTATAGCTCAAGAATTCTTAGGAGCATTTACTGAATTGTACTTGGCAAGTTGGACCCCTTGGCTAGGCAGTTTGACTTCAGAAGTATTTTCTAAGATGTTGTCCATATATTTGGGAATAATTTCACATGAAAAACCCAAAAATGAAAAGAACCTTAAAAATTTTTGGAAATATCTTTAAAATTTTAGGATAAGTAGTAAAGTGTTTAACTTTCATGTTTGTTTTCCAGGCTCAACAACAGAACAGTTATGTAAAAATCATGTATAGCTCCCAAATCATCACATTCCCTAAACAGTGTATTAGAAAACTGGAAAACAAAAGCAAGACAGTTTCGGAAACCTACAAATCAATGATAAACAAACGAGAGTCTAAAGCTCTTCACAATCTAGACAAACCTTTCCCTTTTTAAGGAGACGTGGAAAAAAAAAAAAAGGAGCATGCAAAAGAGACACTGTAAAAATTGATTAGAGAAAATTCCATATAATAAAACTTGTAATAAACCCTTCTCCCCAGCCCACCTCTACAATTCCTAAGGGCTTTTTGCATCTATTTGACAATTATACTCCTTAACGTAGTCAACAAAATCTTTAATACCGTTATGTCACTGGTTTCTTTCATGTAAGTTTTTCTTATCTCATATTCAGGTGCCTCTCAAACTGGCAAAATGAGATGTGAATTTCAGGGACTTGTGGTACTATTAGTAAGAAGACACCCGCCGCTTAATATTTTCATAATTAAGTTATAAAACTGTGACTGGCTGGATGAAGCATACTTCCAAATTTAACATACCAAATATGATCATTTGGAAAGCAAATCGTTATGTAACACCTACTTTATGTCCTTCAATTAATTACAGACCGTGAAAAGTGCTTTTTCTTAAGATAAGTACTGCCCATGATGCAATTTTTTCTCAAGACTGTCATTTTTTCCCAAGGAGAGAAGCAGTTTTCTTAAATTCCAAATTTCCAAGAATATGACAGCCGATTCTCTAAGGAATATAGAATGAACACATATATATATAGTCAGCAATTTTAAGATCTACTTCCTCACATAAGCAGTGATCCAGGCTGATATGACATTTCCAAGATCCTCAGGAACTATTATATGTACCATGCTGCCACAAACATAGATGAGAACTCGGGGATGGAAGAAATTCCATCTTGCATTTGACGTTGCACTGTTTCAAACTTAATTCTCATCTGTTTTCTTAATGTATCTTCACAACTACATAAGGGAGATACATAAAGGAGAAGGCTGGCCACCCAGTGCCTCTACGGGACACACTACCCGATTAAAGAATATACACCCCGTTGTATCTTCAATGGAGTAACAAAAAAGATGGCAAACCCTTCTAGACTCCGGGGAAAAAAGAGTAATATGGCCTAGGGAACCCCAAACTTCAACCCTTTGAGCAGTCTCTTCCCCGCAGTGTCATCACCTACTCCGTGGCTCCAGGGAACTGCGGCGGGGCTGCGGGGAGGCGGAGGAAGGGCCGGGCGGGGGACCGAAGGGGGACGGCGCTCACCTCGCGCACCTGGGCCGGGGCGCAGGGAGCGACGATGCTCTGCGGTTACCCCCAACGGACGGACCAGCAGGTCTGACTCACTCACCTGCGGAGCCGATTTCCATTCATGGAGCTGGGGGGAATGCTTCCAGCGAGAAGGGCGCCCGCCACTGAGGGCAAGGAGGCGGCGCAGGGGGCGACGCGGCGCGACAGGAACCCTCACTCGGCCCCGAGGCGGGGTGGTGACGGCTTCTCCTCAGCAACCGCACTCCGAAAGCTCTGAGGAAGAAGCGTGAGGCAAGAAGAGACGGGCTCCGTGCGGAACTTGCGTCGCCCGCGGCCGCCTACGATCCCAGTGCCCCTCCACGACTGCGGCGCCGCCGCCGACCTCCCCGGGGGCCGCCCCCGGAAGCCTGCTGGCGTCAGTTCCGCTGCCCGGGCTCTCGCCCGACATCCAAGCCTCGCCTCTCCGCCCTAACCGTGCGGGGGCGACGTCTGTGCGGGCGCGGCCGGCGGGGAGGACGCAGGGGAGGTGTCGCGGAGCGGGCGCCGAGCCTGGGCGGGGCCTGGGGCGAGCGCGATGGGGTGCGGCCAGCGGCCGCGAGCTGGGCGGGGCCTGCCCTCCCGCGGCCCTCCGCCCGGCTGTGCCTGCTGGAGACAACCCCGAGGGGTTGGACTCCTCCCACCACCTTGGTGCGGGACAGTGCCTGCCCGAGGCGAGGTCGCGGAGGGCGGCATAGCTAACCTGGACAGGAGCCTTCGTGAAGCGTGGCTGGTGTGAGGTGCAGGACCAAGACCTGCAGCTGTGAAGGCCCCGGGCCAATCTTGGGGAGAGGCCCCCTTCTCGAGGCCCTCCCGCCACGCCCAGTTGGGACCGACCCACGCACCTCCTCCCCTGCAGGCGGTCAAGTGACCACCAACAGTTAGTTGATCAAGCCTGTAGAGTTGCTTTGAGGACCATTTTTTTTCGCGGGGGGCAATGTACAATATAACTTGGGGAAAGATTATGAAACAGGACTTGACACAAACATCAGATCTTATAATTTCCATGTTAAAAACTCTTTAATAACTCCTGGTCACACCAGGACCCAAACTCCATCGCGGGGCCAGCTGTAGGCGTAACGGGGCCCCCGCCTTTCCCCTCAAGCGTCTGAGACTCTTCCTCATCATGCGACAGCTATACTGGTCGGCCTCCCCTAACGGGGAAAGCGCTTTTCTATTAGACCTGGAGCCTCTCTGCTTCTGGTTCCCTTGGCCAGGAGCCCTCTCCTTCCTCTTCACACTCACCCCTTCCCCTCCGCCCCCCAGCCGCTCTTCACACCTCAACTTAAGACATTTCAGATGCCTTTCCCAGACCTCCGATCTATGGTGAGGTACTCCTGTATACTATTACAGTATCTCCTTAATAACCCCTCTCCCAATCTGCAATTTTTGTTCACTAGTTTATTGGGTGCCCCCTCCTCCACTAGAATGTAAGCTTTATAAGGTTATTAAGACCAGCACATTAGTATTTGTTGCCTGAAAGAAATGTGATACTATTTTATTCAGGTTGAGGAATGATTCATGATTTTTCCCTGTCTCTAAGTATCAGTAATGTTTAGACTTTTAACAATCAAAATACATTATTTTTTTAAAGCTTGGGACAAAAAGGAAAGGGGAAAAAAAAAATCCTATCTTTAGTTCCCCCCCCAGTCACTGTGGGACTTGGATCAGTCACTTGAACCTCTGGGCTTCAGTTTCCTCACAGTTGTTGTGAAGTTAGGGAATGTACATAAAGCAACGAGAAAATCCTCCCTAAATGTTAGTAAGGGCATTTACTATTGTTATCATCTTAAAGCACTTATTAGATGCACCTACAGTAAACAATAAATGGATGGGATTCAAACCCATATCTGACTCCAATTCTGCCTCACTTCTTCCTTCCCATCCTTACCCCTTATACTGAAAATGCCCTCCCCAATTTCAAAATATCAAATGTCACTAGATGAAACACTGTATCTTAAAAGTTATTTTCAATCTTTGACTCTACACAATCCAAGTCCTTAGCAGCATTTCAACAGGGGTAAATAGTCTTTCAGCCCTCAACCCCCTCAACTGGTTCCCTAAATGACTGCAAGCTTCTTGGCTTTGTTGACATGGATTTAACAGGATTGGGACCTTCTAATTCAGCCCAATTTAATAAATGTCAATGACGCCTTCCCATCTACCTCTGCTATCCACGGACCCCACCTGTGAGCCCATTATGAAAGGCTCACGAATTGTAATATCAGGAAGTAGGAAGGCAAAAAAGTTTGAATGATTCTGCCCAAAGCCAAGCTGTATGAGGCTCTCCCCTGACAACATGCACATCCTAGTTTTGGATAACCTCATTCCCAAATGAGTCTGCTCTTAAGGGTATGGTGCAGGGTCTTTGTGTATCTTAACTGTCATAGCCCCAGTGCCTAGAAACAGTGCCTGTGGCTCGTACATAGCAGCATCCCATAAATATTTGTGGGGCAGGTGGATGGACCAATAAATAAGTGGGCTTCAAGAATGGCAACTCTGCCCTCATCCCTTGTGGTACTGGTTGCTCTCAGAAGGGAGAACTGTAAAATAGTACAGAAATCCTGGGGGCAAAGAAATCAATGCCCTCTGAAAGTTGCATTCCAAGCTTCCTGTGCTAGAAGAACATCACTGGATGAGGAAAGCAACTGGATAGAACCCTTTCCTCTTGCATGGGCTGAAGTTAGCCGACTTGACACTTTGAAATCTCTTCTCCGAGACAAGCAATTTTCACACAGCAGAAAGGAAGCTACTTTGTACTGCAGCAGAACACAATATAAAACATACTGGCTTTAGGGACAGTCAGAGCTGACAGTGAAGGCCCTCTGCCACTATCTGTAATTCTAGGAAAGTCACTCTCTCTGAACATCACATTCCTCATTTGTAAAAAAAAAGAGTAGCTAGGTAGAGCAGACACTGCTTGATGCCTACCCAAGAGCCTTTTATCCCTTCTTGCCTAGCAAACATGACTTGTCTTTCTAATCCACATGACTCATAGGATAACTTGTAATTAATCTAAGCCACTCATGATGGATGATCTCATTTGCTTTGCCAATGACAAAATAGTGGGAAGATGACCCATTTCTAGCAAATGAGACGTTAGGCCAGATCTGCTGGGGCTTCCAGGGATTCCCTTTCTTTAAAATGAAACATTGGGAAAAATTAGTCCCTCTTCTGCTAGACTTTCTGTCAGCATTTCCTTCCTGGAATTATAGCAGCCATCTTGGGATCCTGAGGTGAACTAGCATGAGGATAAAACAACACAAAGGATAGCAGAGCAAAAAGATTGCAAGAATCTGTTATGTTGATATTATCATTGAGCCAGTGAATTATCCAACCTTGGAGCCATATGAAATCAGGACTTCTTGTCATGTGATAGTTTCCTTATTTAAGCCAATTTACTTGGGTTTTGCTATTGCCATTGAAGGTAACTGATAGACTACTTCACAGAATGCTGTGAAGACACAACCAAATTGTAATGGATACTGTACAGAACACCTAGCCAAGCACTTCAAAGTACCCAAAGTCTCTAATCCTTTTCCAGTTCACTTCCATTAACAACCCAAAAACCTGGCTAGGAGCTCCCACTGCCTCTTTTACAAGGAAAGTTCCTTGCCTTCAGAAGGTGGGGAAGGTCCCTAGAAAAGTTCCTCAAAATTTCTTTGTCCCAAAAAGACACTGCCAAGAGGATAGTGGTGAAGCTGCTGCAGTCAGAATAAGAGGACAGTGTGTTCCTGCAGGGTAAGCCACAGTGGCCTAAAAAAATCTTGGTATGGTATCCTGGGAAGGTAGTTGTGGTACTTAAATGGAGAGCTTCTAAATGCACCTCACCTCCAGCAAGTCCACTTTTCCAGCTCCTCAACACTGCTGCTTTAAAAGAGTGCTTCTGTCATGCTCTGTGCACTTTCTAAGCCTGCCAGATTTCCTGAGCTTACAGCCAAAGGAATAAATATCTTGAAAACTAGGAAGAAAAACGGAGAGCTAATTTCCCAATTCGATGCTTCTTTACATTCAAGCAGTACAGACAGTAGTCTGAGGATCGCCCAGGCTCAGAACTTGAAAATATTCTTCTTTTTGCACTATAACCCTTTCCTTTAGCCGCCAAACCCTAACTGCCATGTGATTCTGGGGTCTATTAAGCCAAGTGATACCCAACAAATACACAGCCTCATTCTACCCTAAAGGCACTTGACAGACAAGAATGTGCTACAGTATATGGTGCCAACTGACAGGGCAGAGGGAAGGCTGCTCAACCAATCCTGAAAAGGGATATCCAGGGGTGCTAGGACAAGCCTTAAATCAAACTTTGAGCTCTAGGACCAGATAAATCAGCCCTTGGGCTCCCACCATGTTTTTCTCTTGAGTAGCAACCAACAGCCAAATGCTGAAATCTTTTTAACATCATTCATTTATGGCAATGAAATTTATAACCAAAATGTGGTATGGTATAATGATTATCTTCCCATTCACTCTGCTGAACACTTTCTGCTTCATTAACGGTCATAAATTTGTCTTGTTTCAACTGGGAAAAATCTCCTCCATGTTCCAGTTTGCTCTTCAAGTCCAACCAACCTCACTACTCCTTGCTGGTGAAAAGGAGCATGGGTCTGGCTGGCTTGCTTCCAGGGAAATCTGGCAGGGGTAGCCACAGGTTAGCAATTTGAACACTTGGCCCCCAGAGAAATGCTAGGCCCACTTTTGTACATACTAACTGCCACTGAAATTTCTCACTGGGCCCTGTGCCAGAATCCTTCTCTGTGCCATCTTCCCCCAATACACAGAAATAACAATACTCTAGGAGTACCAGGGAGGCATGCTGAACTTACATGCTTGACAACTGCACCAACAGTTTAAGGCACAAAATCATAGAACCTTGAAGCTGGGGTGAGAGTAAGAAAAGGTGATGATAACCTGGTTGTTTCTGCTTACCTGAAGATTCAGGAATACTGAGTCCATCCTGTAGACTCAGTGTCACTTCTTGATTCTCCCCTCTGTACTCAAGAACCACAGATTTCTAGCTCATTTCTACTCACAAATATTGACCCCCCCGATACACGCTATGGCCCTGAGATGATGAAAATGAATAGAATGTAGCTTCTGCTCCTAGAAGTTCACAGGCTCTGGGGAAAACAAGTCATGAGAGTAAATAGAGCAAGTTGCTAAGTGCTA